TTTCGAGTTACCAAAAATTCATTTACCGGTGCTAAACTTGTAAAGAAAGACGCACATACGTACATATATACATACACACACAACACACACAAATACACACACGTACTACACTGACACAGACACAGCGAGTAAGAATATTATTATCTTGCGCACCGAATAACTTTTCGATAATCATAGACACACACACACACACACATATACATACATACTGTGTATACACAAATGAAACAGAAATTCACACGTATGAAGGAATCAGAGATGAAAATTTCTAAATAAGGGAAATAATTATCGATATTGACGCGCGCAACCCTGATCTCCTCGTTAGACCTACATACATATGTACGTGTATCGATACTCATCGAATGAGCGATAACATTCTTTGCGTCCTTCAACTTTTCTCAAGTCTTTCAATGCGATATAATGCCACGCGCGCGCATGCAATAGCTTTTTACTAAACTTATTGTCCATCTTCCCCATATTTTACTCCATCGCCAGCTATTATCAATCCTTTTCTTTCTTCCGTCCTAAATCTTTCGTCCAGGTCCTTTTCCTTCTCCTCCTCTTCCGCCCTCCCTCCCACCACCTCCAATCAACCCCTCTAATCAATCCTAATCATTTTTCTTTCGTGACCTCCGAACACGCCAAATCTCTGGATATTATTTTTCACGTCCCATTTATCGTGTATCGCTCCAGTGTAACTTTTTTTTTTTTACCTTTTCTTATTCTATTGCCTCCCTCGCTATCATGCTCTCTCCCTCAACCATCCAACCCTCCCACCTCGTACGTTATCTCTTTTCTTAACTTTCGCGTCCTCTCTCGTTGTACTATCGTAAACTATCAATACGCCAAAAATGATAGAGGAAGAATAATAAAAAAAAAAAAAAGGAATGATAGGGAGAAGAAAAAGAAAAAGAAAAAACAAGAAAAGAGCTAAAAATGAAATAAATGAAGAAAAAAAAGAGATTAAAAACGTTAATACAAACGTAGAACGCGAGTAAAAGGATATTTTATCACGATCATTGTTGTCAAATGAAATTTATCTTGTAAATATGTATATACCGTGTTATATGTATATATATATAAGAAAATATTTGTGTGCGTGGATATGTATGTGTGTATGTATGTGTGTATATCTGATCGCGCAGACATTGTAAAATCTCCTCGCTTCCCTTTTGCGATCCTTGCCTTCCCCTATTTACCTTCTTACCCCTCTTCTATTTTTCCTCCCCTTTTTTCCTCGTTCCTTTAAAGAAATGATCGTCTACGTGTATACATATTATTTAGTGACGATTAATATTATGTATATGTTGCTCTATTTATTAACAAGACGTATATATATATATATATAAATATTATATATATTGTTAAAATTAAAAAATGAGTATTTTTATTATTATTATTATTATTATTATTATATTATTATTATTATTATTATTATTATTATTATTATTATTATTATTATTATTATTATTATTATTATTATTATTATTATTATTATTATTATTATTATTATGATGAATGACGACACAAGAATGATGATGATGACAATTATTATTATTATTATTATTATGTTTATCATTATTAATTATTATTATTATTATTATTATTATTATTATTATTATTATTATTATTATTATTATTATTATTATTATTATTATTATTATTACCACGATAGATAAATATTTAATTATAGGTATAAAGTGCAATGTTTCATCCCAGAAAGAAAAAAAATAAGAGAGAGAAAGAGAGAGAGAGTTTGTGTGTGGGTGTGTGTTTGTGTGTGTGCGCGCGTAAGAGTTGAGAAAAAAGTGAGAAGAGAAAAATAAATACAAAAATTTGCTGTGTACCTACGAGAGAATTAAAAAAAAAAAAGAAAGAAAGAAAGAAAGAAAGAAAGAAAGAAAGAAAAAAAAGAAGAAAAAAATCACGCACACACACGAGCAAGGAATACAAAAAAAAGAAAAAGAAAAAAATGTCACACTCTCATGCGTTATTACATATGTAGGCGATCGCGCGCGCGCGCAGCTTTTAAAAAGTATCTTCAATAAATAACACAAAAGACCTATCGGATATATACATACACGCACATATACATTCAAACCTGCATACATATATACATATATATATATAATTACATGCGTTACCGTTCGAAAACAGAAAGCTGCATGTATAGGATAGTATGTTATGTGCTGGCGTGCCGCGATGAAAATACTTTTTTTACACACGATATTATTCTATCTGCTAGATAAATTATATGTAATTATTATTATTATTATTATTATTATTATTATTATTATTATTATTATTATTATTATTATTATTATTATTTTTATTATTATTATTATTTTTATTATTATTATTATTATTATTATTATTATTATATTATTATTATTATTATTATTATTATTATTATTATTATTATTATTATTATTATTATTATTATTATTATTATTATTATATTATGATTATTATCATTATCATGATATGGTGCTCTAAAGTG